TGAGGAGCACTTCTACGATCGGTGGATCACCTCAGCATTTTATTTCTAAGTTCTCTGAGATCCATTATTGAGCACGCAGTACGTAGGTCAACTAAGTAATTTCCAATGTTTTTTTGGGGGGGATGAATAATCAATATGAATTATTGCTACAGATATTCGCGCCAAAAGTAACAAAAATGAATGGCTCTTTATCCAAGCGGAAGAAAAAAAATCAAACATTTTACACCATAATCTAAATCCTGGATATACATTTATAAACTAGTGAACGATATAGATATAATTATTACTATTGAATATTTTCTTGTACAATCATTAAAAAAAAACATTCTACAAACTTTTTGTTGTACAATTTATCCAAACGTTGGCATTATGTATTTGTATATGTATGTATGCATGTATAAGTTGTCTTGGAAACAAATCGGTTTACTTCATGTGAAAGCCAGATGAATTACTGTCTTATGTGAGCATTTCTAAGCATCGCCAAACAAGAAATGTCTCCATGGACTTTGACATACATTTTTACATCTTCGACAAAGGACGACGGGGTTTTATAAGACATGCACGGAGGGCAGTACACATCACACAAATGAACCTTCACTGATACACACATGAAAATCACTGATGATTCCAGAGGGTTTTCACGAGGTATTTCGGGGAACGATAATTGCATCTGACAGGCGTATCTCCCTGAAAGGACACGTTATCGCATTCATTAGATATTGTGACCAAAATAGATTCACACTGATAATGGGGTTGCTGTTGTCGCTAGGTATTTTTGGAGGAGCTTAACTTGAGGGGAAACCAGTTCCAGGTCACGTTTTCTTTTTTAATCATCATCAAAACAGAGATACATAGGACGTGCAGCGAAGCATGAAACCTTTATTTTGTGATAATCATGCAAATCTTAGCTTTTAGATATATATTTTCCAATTCAAATTGCTTTTCATTACTACCTTACTTATTACCTTTAATTGAAGCTGTGACATAGCAGTCATTCAACAAGAAATAAATGTACAGCATATGAATGGTAAATGGGCTTGTACTTGTCTCGCACTTTTCCACCTACGAGGCACTCAAAGGGCTTCACACAAACTCCACATTCACCTCCTGATGATGCAGCATCATAAGCAATTTGGAGTTCAGCATCTTGCTCAAGGACACTTTGCCATGGTTACAAGGGCCAGGGATCGAAACTACGTTAGCCTTGCCCACCCTGCGGCCCCAATTTCACGATATCTAGATAAGTGCTTGATGGTTTTAGCATATTTTAGAAATTAAGGCTGCAGAATGTCAAAGCGGCCCTTGCATCCTTCAATTTTTCTGTATGTGGCCATCGTAGGATAAAGTTAGGACACCCCTGGCATATGGCATCCAAATTCAGTCCAAAACAAGTACGACTCTTTTACACCAAGTGCAACCACTGCATGACCCTGGCGTGTAATCAAATGCACCGTGCACACTCGAATTAGCCAATTTGCATCCACCCAGCAGACATTTTCACTCCATCAGCGCCGTGCGCCATAGAGCAAACTCTGATTTCCATTTCAAAGTGTTTTTGAAAAGGCAGCTGCATTGAGGCTCTAGCGACCGCCGAAAACAAATGCCAACCCTTAATATGTGTCCTCCATTCAAAGACTTGTACGGC